TGCTGCTGCAGTCTGGACTCTACACCCTGCTGCCACTACCTTAGAGCAGCATGACACCATGTGCCTGCTGCGCATGGGGCACAGAACCGCAGCCTGCCTCCACCCTGCACATACATCTGGGGTGCACATGCCCCCCTGGCCTCTCCCAGGGTTGCATACAGTAGTGGGAGCCCCCCCATGTCCCTGGATGATCCCCATTCACCCCTGCCTCTCCCTCCCTTGCTGCAGGGGACTTTGATCTGACCCTGCATGACACTTCCCCATAACAGATTTACCTGCTGGGGGGTGGGGTACATGCACTCATTTCCCTGCTCCCCCAAATAATATTTGTGCCTCCACCTATGGCTTGAGGTAACATTGTAAGTGAATGGGGACAGCAAACGGGGACGTTTGCAAGCAGTTCTCTGGGAGAAGGAAGAGCAAAAGGAGCCATGTACCAGATCCTGCTTCTGGAAAGTAAATGAGCCAGGGCAGTCTGTATTTGGCTTGGTGAGTGTTTGGTTGGTTGGCTGTGTGGTCCAGCAGTCATGCTCTGAGCAGCTGGGAGTGCTGCTAGCCGAGGTGTCTGACAACAGATCTAACAAGGGGGTGGAACCAGTCCAGACCCAGGAGAGTATAAAAGGGAGACTGCAGGCAAACAGGGATAGCAAATGAAAGTTTGCTGGCCCCATATTTAATGAGGAGTCTTTAGGGTAAGTTCTTAGTTTAAAGAAAGACTAGCTAACCTAGAAATTTAGCATAAGTAGCTAAAACTCAGCAGTTAAACAAGGAACTTAAGTATTGAGCTAACTAGAGATCAAAGCAAGTGGGGAGTTTGCCCAGATTTGTCCTTGTTTGGCACTATTGGGTCTACAGCTTGCGCACACTTTCTATTGACAGCTGGGGGAAGGGCTGTAAAACTCTTAAGGAGGGGTTGCTTACAATGTGTGTGGTGCCTTCTGGTGTCCCTTGTGGGGCAAATAAGAGCTACAGGAGGAGGTGGTGAGGCTCTAAAGCATCCTCCACCATGAGGACTTCATTTATTTGATGCTGGAGGAGAGCTCTAGGGCTGCAAAAGGTAATGCAGGAGAACAAAGAGGATGTGGACTCCCAAGAAGGTGGAAGCTTGTGACCTCTGGCAGCAAGCAGGGGTCTTCATCCCCACAAATGATTGATAGTCATCCCTGCAGCAGTTTGCCAAGAGAACAGAGGGAGCTCTAGCGATGGAAGAGAAGGAGCACGTTCCATCAGCAGAAGAGGCCGGCTCAGACCTCCACAAGTTTCCACTGCCGCAAAAAGAAAGTGATGGGTGGTGGTGGCTGGTGACTCCCTTCTGTGGATGATGGATGCCTTAGCCTGGATCTGAGTTGACTTAGAAGGATTGCCAATACTGATTCAGCCCCCTGATGACTAGTGACCTATGCTGCTCATCCACGAGGGCACCAGTGATACTGACAGGGGTAACCTTGAGCAAATCAAAAATAATTACTAGGTTCTGGGTGCATGAATGGAGGGGACAAGGGGCTCAGGTGGTGGTCTCCTTGATCCTTCGTGTCAAGAGAAAGGGCCTAGGCAGGAGTGGATATCTTGCAGATCAATGCATGGCTGTGCAGATGGTGCTGGCAGTGGGGATTTGGCTTCTTCAACAAGGGAAGTTGTTCCAAAAAGGAGTGGTAAGAGATCAGTTTTACCTGATGAAGAAAAGGAAGAGCATTTTGGCAGGAAAGCTTCCTAACCTAGTGAGAATCATAGAAAGGTGAGGTTGGAAGAGACCTCAGGAGGTCATCTAGTCTAACCCCCTGCTCAAAGCAGGAGCATGCCAACTAAATCACCCCAGCCAGGTCTTAAAAACCTACAAGGAGATTCCACAGCCTCTCTGGGTAATTTGTTCCAGTGTTTTGCTATCCTCTTAATGAGAGAACTCTTCCTAATATCAAAGCTAAACTTCCCTTGCTGCAACTTTCATAGATTTCTTAGACATTTGGGCTGGAAGGGACCCCAGAGGATCAGAGTCCAGCCCCCTGCCCCAGGGGCAGGAAGTCAGCAGGGATCATAGGATCCCAGCAAGATAAGCATCCAATGTGTCTTGAAGGCGTTCAAAGTAGGTGCTTGAACCGCCTCCGGCAGCAGTCTATTCCAAACCTTGGGGGCTCGGACAGTGAAGAAGTTCTTATGTCCAGCCTGAATCGGTTGCAGCGGGGTTTGTGACCATTTGATCTTGTCATCCCTTGGGGCGCTCTGGCTAACAGATGTTCCCCCAGATCCTGATGAGCACCCCTGATAAACTTATAGGTGGCCACCAGATCACCCCTGAGCCTGCGCTTTTCTAGGCTGAAGAGTCCCATGGCTCTGTCTCTCTTCATAAGGTCTGCCTTCCTGACCTCTGATCATGCACGTGGCTCTCCTCTGCACTCTCTCAAGCTTCTCCACATCTTTTTTGAATTGTGGAGCCCAAAACTGGATGCAGTACTCCAGCTGCGGCCTCACCAAGGCCAAGTACAATGGGAGAATGATGTCCCGGGATTTGCTTGAGAAGCATCTGTGGATGCAAGCCAGCGTTTTGCTCGCTTTACTAGCCACAGCATCATACTGAAGGCTCACGTTCGTCTTGTGGTCAACCATGACCCCCAAGTCCCTTCTATCTGTAGTGCTAAGAAGCATAGCACTGCCGAGCCTATAAGCATGCTGCAGGTTTTTCCTCCCAAGATGGAGAACTATGCATTTTTCGGTGTTAAACACCATCAGGTTCTTGTCCGCCCGTTTCCTGAGCCTGTCAAGATCCGCCTGGCAAACTTGGCCAATCCGCTTCTAACACCAATGTCCACATCATTGATGAAGATGTTAAATAGTATAGGCCCTAGGACAGAGCTTTGAGGGACCCCACTGGTCACAGCGCACCAAGATGATTGGCTCCCATCGACCACCACCCTCTGGGTCCTACCGCGGAGCCAATTCCCCAGCCAGCGGATCGTGATGAGGTCAAGGCCACAGTTAGCCAGTTTAGCCAAGAGGTGATCATGGGATACCGGATCAAAGGCTTTTTTAAAGTCACGATATACAATGTCTATCTCTTCCCCCTTGTCCAGGTGATAAGTCACCTGGTCATAAAAGGAAATGAGATTGGTCAAGCAAGACCTACCCGCAACAACCCCATGCTGAGTATCCCTCAGGATATTGCCTTCAGCTAGTCTGTTAAGGATGGCCTCCTTGATAATCTTTTCCAAGACCTTCCCCAGGATAGAGGTCAGGCTGATGGGCCTGTAGTTTGCTGGATCTACTTTCCTCCCTTTCTTGAAGATAGGCACAGCATTGGCCTTCTTCTAATCATCGGGCACTTCACCAGAGCGCCAAGAGCTCTCAAAGATCCGTGTCAGGGGCTGAGCTATGATGCTCACCAACTCCCTAAGTACCCTTGGTGTAACCTGTAGGTTACACCCAAGGCCTTTCCTGTTGCCCCCTATAGCTTGTACTTCCTCCAGGTCACTTGCTTCCCCACTTACCTTACAGTCCATTCATCCAGCCTTCCTTAGCTTGCCTGTGAGAATGTTGTGAGAGACCAAATCAAAAGCCTTGCTAAAATCAAGGTACACCACATCCTCCAGTCTCCCTGGATCCACAGAGCCAGTCACCTTGTCATAGAAGACAATCAGGTTGGTCAGAGATGACTTGCCCCTGGTGAATCCATGCTGACTGTTCCTAATCACCTTTTTGTCCTCCAAGTGCGTAGAAATGGATTCCTTGAGGATCTGCTCCATGATTTTTCCAGGGACTGAGGTGAGGCTGACTGGTCTGTAGTTCTCTGGATCCTCCTTTTTCCCTTTCTTTAATATAGGCACTATGTTTTCCCTTTTCCAGTCATCCGGGATGTAGCGGGCAAACTGAGTTATGCTAAGGCTTTTTAGCCATGGTTCAGACCCTCCTGGAACTAAGCAACAAAATTAAACATCTGCCTTCTGTGTCACTGGGAGATGTGAGAGCTGTGATTGGGCACTAGGTGAGCAAGGCACCAATCCCTTGGCACTGTGTCTGGCACATTCCATATAGGGAAGCTGTTGTGCCTTGCTCACCTAGTGTCCAATCACAGCTCTCACATCTCCCAGTGACACGGAGCAAGCCAATATGGAGGTATGAGCAGGCTGGAGACAGGCCTGTTAAAAGTCTCTCGGGATCAGAGGGGAGAACAAGGGGGCTGTTGTATTGGATGTGTGTTATAGACCACCAGACCAGGAGTACGAGATGGATAAGGCTTTCTTCAAAAAACTAGTGGAAGCTTCCCAGTCAAAGGCACTGGTTTTCATGGCAGGTTTCAATCACCCTGACAGCTACTGGGAGGGTCACACAGCAGGATAAAGGCAATCTAGGAAGTTTTTGGAGACCGTTAGGGACAACTTCGTGGTGCAAATGTCGGAGAGGCCAACCAGGGGCCTTACTCTTCTTGATCTGCTGCTCACAAATGTTTGGTGTTGGTGAGGAATGTAGTAATGGATGGCAACTTCAGCAGCAGTGACCACAAGACAATTGAGTTCAGGATCCTGAGGGAAGGAAAGAAGAAGAGCAGCAGAGTAAGGACCCTGGACTTCAGAAAAACAGACTTCAACTCACACACACCAACTGCTGAAACCTCCTTAGCCTGACGAAGGGTTTTTGAACCTGAAAGCTTGCTTAATAACTATTCTCCAACTATTTGGGTTGGTCTAATAAAAGATATCAAATTCACCCAAGGAACCTTGTCTGCCAGACTTCAACTCATGCAGGGAACTGATGGGCAGGATCCCCAGGGAAGAGGAGAAAGGAAGCCAGGAGAGCTGATGGTACTTTAAAGAAACCTCATTGAGGGCACAGGAACGACCCATCCTGATGTGCAGAAAGACTAACAACTAAGGCAGAAGACCAACTTGGCTTAGCAGGAAACTTCAATGAGCTGAAAGACGAAAAGGAAGCTTATAACGGTGAAAACTTGGACAAACTACTAGGAAGGAGTATAAGAGTATTGCTTGGACATACAGGGATGAAATCAGGAAGGCCAAAGTACAACTGGAATTGCAGCTAGCAAAGGACATGCAAGGTAACAAAAACAGTTTCTACAAGTATGTCAGCAACAAGAGGGAGATCAGTGGTCCCTTCCTGAATAAGGGAAACAACCTAGTAACACATGTTGCAGGAAAGGCTGAGGTATTCAATGCCTTTTATACCTCAGTCTTCACAGGTGAAGTCAGCTGCCAGACTACTGCATCTGCACCAAGACCTGAACTATTCAACCTTCATGCTCCAGGAATTACTCCTCACTAAGACAGAGGTGGCTAATCTGTGGCATGAGTGTCACAGGCAGCCTTCATGTGGTACATGTCAGATTAGTGCAGGGAGGAGAAAACAGAGCAGCAGATCATGCATTTCTTCAGTAACATGTCCAAAATTCTCTTGACATTTCATCTCTCTGATGCCTCATAAATTAAAGATATATCAAGCTAGCAAAATATGGGACAATCTACTGAACCTCTTGTTCAAATACTAGGCGCAACAATGTTCACTTACAGGAAGGAAGAATAATTTCCGATAAACAGGGTACTGGTGACATTCTTTGGCTTGTGTTGTTCGAGAGAGACTTAATTTCAGATTTAAGGCCAGAGACAGCTGCATTTATTAACAGTATATTATTCACTGGTGCTTTTAGGACTGTTGATTTTTTGCACCGCTTGTGGGATATGCAAGAGATAAAAGCCACACATCTTGCCTTAAGGGCTCTCTTCATAAATTATGCAACCCTGATTCCATAGATCTCACAAATGATAAGGATCTTTATTGTCCTGTAAAATGTTCCTAATCTGGTTTACGTAACAAGAGCTAAAACTTGACATTCACTTGCTGCTTCTTCAATGGCCACAACATTGTGTGTGAATCAGACAGTCCTGCTACACTAGCAAGGACAAAGGCATATCAACTTAATAAACAGCAGGATCTATTCTTACAATGTTATATTGAATCTCATAATACTTAATAGAACTTTTAAGGGCTGTTCCTTAAGCATCTTATGAATGTGAGAAGCTCTGCTTTAATTAAAAAAAAAAAATTTCTATCACTCATGGTAGCAAAGATAATAATTGTATCTAGCAGCTCAGAAGCCTGGAGGCAAAGACAAACCCAAAATGTGATGTTGAAATGTTAGTTTCTTCAGAGTAGGGGTGACCTACAATATTTAAATACTTAAGTTATTCATCTAGTATTGCCAACCTCATCTGCAAGACAGGATGTTGTATGACAGCATTGCCCTTTTTGTTATTTTAAGGCAGGAATATCAAACTCATCTAGCCAGAGCCAGATGAGTGATGCAGGGCTGGTCCACAGCCCAGATCAAGCCAAAATGACCCATAGACTCCCCTTTCCCCCCACACCACACTGGATCAAGCACCTGCAGAAGCTGCTTCAGGAAGATCTACGCTGCGTGTGACACGTATCCTGGAGCCACTGGGACCAGTACTACATGCAGCATGCATCCCAACATGATGGCCCCAGCAGCTAGTCTGGACTGCATGACAGTGCCTGCTCTAACCAGTCTGGAACATGTGTTGCTGCATGCAGTGCCTATAAGTGCCATGTGAAGTGCTGGTACTGGACTGGCTGGATCAGGTGTGTGCAGTGAGGTTCCCAGAGCAGCTAGAATGGGTGCTGTGTGCAGCACACATCCAGACCCCGCCTACAGGGCTGGTCTAGGTCAATTCAGACCAATGGTTACACCAGGGGCCAGATAGTAGGGCTCTGCAGGCTGAATCCAGGCCACAGGTTTGGCACCCCCCCTTTAAAGGTAAAATGACTGGAGTCAAGTTAAAAGATTCTTAAGGCCAAGATCAGGCACTCCACAGAAAACCATAAGGCTGCTTTTTAACATCTTGTAGAAGGACATAGCTCATGGTGATACGAAGCGCAGCTTGTTACTTAGATTCCCCCTAGGGCTGACTTAAGGTTATGGCTACACTGCATAATTTACTTAATGTACAGATAAATGAGGTAGCTCTAAATGAAGTAACTTGGATACCAAGAACAAGAAAGCCACATCAGTGTGGAGATCTGTACAGTTTAATTTACCCTAGTTCTTAGTCCAAGAAATGCGATTTCTCAACAGGGCAAGTCAGCATGGAGTTCTGCTTAGATCAGTGTGTGTCTTAATACTGAAATTAGTATAAATGTCCTTGCTCTATCCTGTGCAGCATCACATAATGTAAATATCTCCAGGACCAGTTTAGAAACAGGAGACTATAAAAGTGCAGTGTGTATGAGATGCAGAAAGTGATTTTTAATGCTTCACAAACAGCATACAGAGAGAGGCCTGCTCTGAGGCATTCACATTCTAAATACACTAGGCTGTCTCAGCGTTTGATAACGTATCTTGAATTCCTTTGCTTTTTATCTTTGGATTATCCTTAATGCCCAACCACAGCAATGCTCACTAGGAGTAGAAATCTGCGTTCTGTAAACTGCCTTACTAGTCTCCCTTTTGTTGTTGCTGTCACCACAAAGGATTTGTTCAATCATGAAATCCATACACAACATGGACTTTGACAGTATAATCTGAATCTGCACATTACACAAATATGGTATTTTTTATTTCAGAAGAACTGCTGAATGAATGTAGGTATTTAGCATCAAGTGTGGTCATGGCATAGTTAAAATTGCAATTTATTACTTATTATCTTCAAAAGTTATAAGCTCACCAGAAGCACTTTACTGCCAGCTTAAATAAAAAGTTACATGTGTTATTGCTTGTATAATAAGCCTTGCAAAATCTTGAATGGAACTTGATATTTGTACTGGCAAAGTACACTGTGTGAAATATCAAAGAAATACAAATCTGGCTGATTAGGAAATTAATCTTGAATTTGAAATTATAGAGAAAATATTTAAAATATACAACTTTTTGTGGGCTTTAAAACATTGTCCTCAAATACAGCCAGATTTTAACCATCCAGACTGGTGCACATCACAAAGGAAACAATAAATGTTTCTATATATGATGTGTTTTCTGTATTTAAATAAAATCCACTGTAGCCTGGGTTCAGTGAGACTATGGAAATGTAAACAAACAGTATTTACTCACATGTCCAAATTCTTTATATCCCTGTAATTCAGACTTTCAACCTCTAAACACTCCCTATTCAATAAAGTGGTTAGTCCTAGATAATGTGCTATGAATTAAAGCTCTCATAATGAATTGGTTTAATAAGTTTAGTCCAAAGGAGAGAATGAAAGGGCATACATTTTGTGTAAACTTAACTTACCATAAGATTACAGCATGTTCCTAAATTAAAATTAAGTTAAATAAATTAGGTATGAATTATTTTTATGGGGTTGTAGCCTTCAAATGTACTTCATATAAATAAGTAAAAATGAAGTACAGTAGAAGCTTAATAAACTATTAAAACCAAACAAAATCATACCCTTTATTAAGAGTTACCCTTTATACTACTTTTTTATTAAATGCAAAGCAAATAAAAATATATAAGAAAAAGTGGCAAACATTCAATTCATATTTATAAAAAGTATCAAGTCATACAGTTGGGCTGGCAATGATACTTAAAAGGCAAAAATCATATACATATATAATATAAATCTATGAATATAACAAACAAGGGATAGAAACATTATATAAATAAGGTGTGTTTAAATATTTACAGTTATACAGAAACTAGCCAAAGTGGTGCTATAAGAAAGAAATATTGTCTGTTTATAAAAGATATTATAAATTTGCATACATACATATGCATTACACTAATAGTTCTTTAACTTATGCATTTCATATACTAGTTATTAATTTTAGATCTATTTGCATAAAATCATTTAAAAATATGACTATTTTGGATTTCAAGTCACAGGAAAAGCTATTAGTATAACAATAGAAAACCCCTAGCTCTGACAACGTCAGCCAGCCTCCCTGCCCTTCAAAATTTTGTCTCTGGCTTCTTGCTTCTAGGAACAAGGAAGACATTGCCATCTCTTGTTTGCTGCAGTGAGTACTCATTAGGAGAGTAAGGCTTTCCATTTTCATCACGTAACATGCTGAAGACCTCAAGATACAAGGTGCTAAGCTGCTTCTTCATTAAGCGGAGACTTTTGTCATTCTCTCCCTTTTCTTTAAGTAATTTCTCTTTTTCATCCTTGAGATGGCCCAAGTCTTGCTCCAGTTCCACTATGTTTTCCAGTTTCCTTTTACGGCAATTTTGAGCAGCCACTTTATTCTTGCCTCTCCTGCGTATATCTCTAATAAGCGCAAGTTGGGCTTCATTGAACTGCTCCTTAGACATCATTTCATTGAAATCATCCACAGGGAGGTTGATGATTTTCTCTACAGGGAAAGGGATATGCAGAGCTTTTGCTCTTTGCTCATCTCTTGTGAGATGAGCTTCAAGGTGGCCAGAAGACTTGTCTTTTGTAAATGGAGCTTTAGGGTGGCCTGGGCTGGCAGGTAGCTCTCCCTTTGGTGTGTTTACACATTGCAAATCAGACTTTCGAGTGCTTGGCCCCAAGGCAGGAGACATTTGATCATGGCATTGCAATGAATACACATTAACATTGCTCTGTTGCATACTTCCAGGTGCACTGTCCGTTTCTTCCATTTCAGAATCACTGTACCCAAAAGTTTTATCTCCACAGACAGATGATTCACCAGAGTATTCAGGTGATGCTGTGCTAGGACTTGTGTTCAGGGAAATACCAGAGTCAGAATCATTACCTTCTGCGGCACTTCCAGAAAGGTCACTGTTGAAAGCTTTACAAAGGGAGAAGTCTGCAAGATCAATGGGTTCACTAAGAATATCATCTAAAGATTGGCTGATAACATTTGGGGCTGCTGTGTCATTGCTCACCTTTGTATCAATAAAGGTGGAATAGAAATCTTCACATAAGTCAGACCTTGAAGAGGGAGTAGTATTTGAAGAGTTCACTCTCAATTGGCTGAGGTCTTCTGGTGGTAAGATGCTAGAAAAGGGACCCTCCTCAAAAGCATCAAGGAAATCAGGATTGCAGGTAACATCTTTATCCGTTATAGATAACGAGTTGTAGAAGTTACAGTTATTGTGCATCTCTGCTGGCTTGGCTTCCGGGCTTGTGAAAGCGTTCATTATTTGAACCAGGTTATCATTTTCAATGTTAAGGCACTATATGGGAGGGGAGGGAAGGAAAGGAAAGTAACAAAAGCTTAGCAATAATGGATACATTGATATCAAAACATTTTGATACTAATATCTAACATCATTGCTAGATTTCATAAATATAAAATTATCCTTAAAAAGTCAATGTACACATAAAATTGCTATGACACAATGATAGCTTACACGGCCATAGCATATTTCTAAGATCATTCTTAGAAATCAACATCATTAATTGATTAATTATTTGGATGATGAGATCAAGCACACACTTAGCAAATTTGCAGATGACACCACGTTGAGTGAAATTGTAGACATTCTGGATGTTAAGGCTAGGATCCAGAATGACCTGGATAGAGTGAAGAAATGGTCTGCAATCAATGAGATGAGACTCAACAAGGGCTAGTGCATAGTCCTGCATTTGGGATGGAATAACTGCATGCACATATACAGACTGGAGAATGGCTGACTAGGTTGCAGTAATACAGAGAAGGACCTGGGGGTTATGGTGATTAAGTTGAACATGAGCCAACAATGTGCTCTTGTTGCAGGGAAAAGTCAACAGCAACCTGGGTTGTATTAACAGAAGTGTCACTTGCAAATCAAGGGAAGTGATTCTTCTGCTCTCTTCAGCACTGGTGAGGCCTCACCTGGAATCCTCCATCCAGTTTTGGGCCCCACACTTCAAAAAAAAGACGTGGACAGTTTGGAAACAATCCACTGCGGGGCAACAAAAATGATCTGGGAAACAAGACTTATGAGGAAAGACTGAAAGAATTAAGATTATTTAGCCTGAAAAGAGATGATTGAGGGGGATTTGAGAATAGTCTTCAAATACTTGAAGAGCAATTATATAGAGGATGGAGATGGATTTTTTTCTGTGGCTGTAGGGAACAGAACTAGGGACAATGGCCTCAAGCTGCAGCAGGGGAAATTTAGGCAGGAGACTAGAAGGAACGTTCTGTGTATGAGAGTTGTCTGGCATTGGAGCAGGCTACCTAGAGAAGTTATGGAATCTCCATGCTTGGTGACTTTCAGAAACAGGTTAGACAGATGTTTGGCTGGGATGGTTTAGTCAGAAATGATCCTGCCTTGAGCAGGGTGCTGGACTAGATGACCTTGTGAGGTCCCTTCCAGCCCAACTTTCCTATGATCCTATGATAATATATTCCATTATATGAAACATGGATGTAGCCCTCCTGCTGTGGTAAAATTGTCAAGATGGAGCTGGGGTGCTGCCAAGTTTGGGTACACCTAAAGAACTACTGCTAGTAGTAGGATTACTAAAAAGACTCTTTGATCCATAAAGCAGCTGTTTGATGCAGTAAAATTAAATTTACTATAGAAAACAAGTAGTAGTGACATGGAACTTTACAAACATTATTTTACCCCACATACTTTTAGTTAAGTTGGTTAACAGGCATAAGTACAGAAGTATATTACATTGATGGGCTTTCATTGGCAACGAAACAAACATTCTTTCCAGTAGGGTAGTAGTATCTTAACATTGACTGAAGGAAGCTGATATCAGTGTGCCTTCTGTTTCTGGAGAAGGAGGCAATTACCAAAATGATTCTGTTTCTCTTATAAAAGGACTACACACTGATTACTTAACTTGTGGTTAAACAAGGCCTACACTACAGTTTACAAGACTGGAGACAAGACTGAGTTGGCCTTTTTCTTTCCTGTACATCATTCACCTTTAGGTATCTTGCTTCTGTCTGAAAATGTAGGGTTACCAGAACAATAACATTAGAGAGATTTTCAGTTTGTTTCCTCTATTTATTTTGCCATTTCCACAGTTGTCCATTTCCCCAATATCTGATGTGTACAAAATATCTACTACGAAAATTAAAAATGAATAAATAAAATGAGGGTTTTAAAATACACAAAAATTAGCAACAAATATTTAGAGGCAGAGTAAATGTAGTACTGGCACTGCTTTCTAAATCATTTGTAAGTGGTTTGATTTCAGTTTGATAGAGTCTCTTTCAATATTGCACTGCAGTATCCAAAACAAGGTAACATCATGCTGCTGCATAATCATTGTTTCCCAAGCAATAATTAAAAATAATCCAGATTTAGCTTTTGCAGTACAATTTGGATAAAATCCATTATAGGGGTGCACCGATAAAGATTTTCTTGGCCAATAAGGCATTTTAAAAGTATTGACATAAATGAACCTTTTTTTTCTTCTTTTTTTTTGGCAAATTCCAGCAGCCTCTTGAGTCTGATGTATCAGCATCCCAGAGCTTAAAAATGGGGGTGGTGGCACTTGAACTAAAGCTCATTCAATTAATGAGCTTTAGTTTAAGTGCCACCACCCCCATTTTTAAGCACGGGAGTGCTTTTAAACAGAGCAGAGCTGAGTGGGGTAAGGGCGAATGCAGGCTGCCTGCTGTTTGCTCGGGGCTCTCTGCCCTGCTGCCTTTGCCCTGGAAGTCCCATGCTGGCTGTGCACCCCCTGCTCACCTGGCAACATGGGGCACAACTCGTCACCCCCCACCTGCTGCCAGGTGGGCAGGGGGCATGCAGCCAGCCTGGGGCTCCCAAGGGAAAGGCAGCAGAGCGGAGAGCCCCAAGCCCACAGTGAGTAGCCTGCATCTGCTCTGCATACATATCTAGGGGCATACATGCCTCCCCCAGGGATGCGCGCAGTGATAGGGAGCCACTCCCCCACACCCTCTAGATAAGCTGCCCGTGGCTTCATCCCACTCCCTGCCCCAGTCCCAGGTTCCATGTACTGCCCTGGCAGGGTAGCACCCCCAGCCCCACTCCCTCCCTCACTGTGGAGGCCTTGATCTGCCCCCCCTCACCCCTCCCCTATGCCCATTCCCCTCCGTAGACTTACCTGCAGAGAGTTGCTTTCCACACTGCCCAGCAGTATTCCTAGCCACATGCATGCGTGCAGTCATGCATGTGCATGCAGCACCCCCTGTATTTCACTCCTAGCAGCCCCAAGCAGGACCCCTTGCAGGCTAGAACACTGCCAGCCTGCAAGGGGAAACCTGTTGTTTCCCAAGGGAACCCAGGCATTTTGGGACTGCAGCCAGTGCCCTGGCCAGAAGGTATAATTATCGGTAAACATTAAATCAGCTACAATGGCCAAAAAAAGCCGATAACTGATAATGTCATTTCCCCTTTTATCGGCGCCAATCTGACAGACAACCAATACAACCGGTGAACCTCTAAAATACAAGGATCTTTAATAGATTACTTGTATAATTGGGAAATCTGTTGAAAAAGCTTTCAGGCATCAAGTGGCCTTCCAATATTTTCTAAAGCTTCTCTCCCTAGCTGGAAGTTAAATGCAAATCTAAATGTATGTATTTAAAATTTTTAATTCGCTCATATATAAACCATATATTCTTTCCCCAATACTAATTAAGCATCATACCAAAAATACTGTTAGAGAAGCATTTGGGGGAAAAAAATATATAGTTGATATAGATAGGATCGATAAATTTAGAAGTTACTGACTTTTTCGCAGGTTGGACTTTAATCATGACAGTGCCGTTAACAGGTTTATGAATTTAATACAGGTCCAGAACTGATAGAAAAGGAAACATCATGTCTGGGATGTGTTTGCTTGTGACCCCATTTAAAGAACCCATGTCTTTGAAGTCTCCACTGTACCTGGATGAAGCATATTTTTAATTAGAAGATCCATTTACTTTATGACATCCAACACTGATTTACAAAAATGCTAAATACCAGCTCGACATGCCAATTACCTACCATCCCTTAAAAAGGTTACTGCCACTGTTCATATTTCTCGGAGGTATTCTCCTTGAATGCCCTCCTATTCCTTCATTAACCCTTACCTGTAGTTCTGCAATGGACAATAATTCTTCCCAAACTTGATTTATGTTTTGTGTGCTGTCTCCATCAGTGACCGGGGATTGAAGGACAGATGCCTCGGGTGGCTGAGTCTGATTAGGACTAACAAAGATTGTGTTGCTATCAACCGGAGCAGGAACCAGTGATTGAAACGCAGCTGAAGAAACCTGGAATTTAAAAAATAAAGCATACAATCCAATCTTGCATGACGTACAAGCTGTTCTTAGTGCTGTCTGCATTAGTTGTTTACTAAATCCACATGTATCCCTTCCAAGAGTAATTTATACACATATTTGCTAGCTTCTGCAAATGTATAATTTAAAAGAATTTCCAAGAAAAGTGGCTTTATAATAAGAGAAAGAGAAAACACTCCAAACAAACTGTCCAAGGGCCTGCCTTCACTGGAAGGGTTAGCTTGCAGCACATTTAGTTAATAAATTTGTGTAAAGCAACTTGAATCTATTAACTCAAGCTATCTGTTAACAGTTGAGTGTGAACATAATGCAAAACACCACTCTAACACAGTAACTGGGTCAGCAGTTGGTGAGTTTTGGTCACTCAACATGCTGCATCAATACTGCTCAAGTGTCAGCCAGCACTCAACCTTCAACCCATCCACCTGAGAGGTCAGCTACCTTGGGTTTAATGCTCCACTTAACTGGAGATAGAGATTTTTGCCTGTGGATAGGAGTCTGGTTAAGGGGCAAAATTCAAAATCTAGCTTGAGCTCAAACTGAACTGCAGACTGAAGGCAAATTATTGTTACCTTAAAAAAGAAGAAAGAAAAGAAAAAAGTACCGACATGAAACGCTGTACTAAGCATTTACCTCATTATCATCTACAAATGAAAAAGTTTCTGCCAGGAGTTGCATGCAGTCATCAAAAGACAAGGCATCTGCTTCTGATTTTGAAGTATGTGTATTCTAGATAGGAACATTATGGAAAAGCATATTAGCTTATTTTTAGATGACTAAAGATCTTCAACTATAGCAAATACAGAGTAAACTTTAGTGTTAACCATTAGTTTTACCATCACTTTTTATTCATGAAAACTGTGTACACACACACACACACACACACACACACACACACACACACACACACACACACACACACACACACACACACACACACACATCCCCCCAGTATAAATGAGAAATACTGCTTTTTTTACCTGTGAAAAACTGATTGGCGCTCTAGTATTTTCTGACTCAATGTGCTGCGTTGGCTGAATGGGAACAAATTCACCTGTTTCTTCATCTAACTGCAACTGAGCCAATAGTGCTTTTTCTTGCTCTTTTTGAAGCTGTTCTTGTCTCTCCTTTTCCAGTTTCTTTTGCTTCTCAAGTTCATATTCTTTCTTTCGTTGACTTAAATCAAAGACTTCACGTCTTGCCCCAAGATCTATATCTTGCCTCCAAAGGATGTCAATCAAGTTCATGTCCTATAATTGAAATAAATTAGTTTTAAAAGGCAGCCTACATCATAGCAAAACTCATTTAAAACAACACATCAGGACAATTCTAAACAGGTAAACTCATGTCACTGAAGTGTGTTAATTTAATCCTACCAAATTCCCTAAGCAAAACATGGTTCTAAAATACCTTAATCTTTTGTATTAATTACATGAACAGACTGGTTTCTTATTGTTGCAAACATTCTCACTCTCTCTCACACATGCACACAGAGAAATATTTTCTCATAAGGAGTATCAATAAATCAGCACAGTACAGATGGAATTGTTAAGAATGCAGTTTGGGTAACATGATTACATGCCAACCAGCCAAAAGAGCAGAAGCAACTAATTCCTTCCTAAATTAGCTATTAGAAAACATGAAGATAAAGGAGGGATTAAGGGATCTATGATTTACTTAAGAAATGTTTTCCTCAGGAAAAGAAAGGCACAGGATTGAAAAGCGCGGAAATGAAAAAAGTGCACTAATTTTACAAGAACATGCAATTGGGTGAATTCTTTTTGTATACTGGCATAACATTTTCAAGATGACTACAGATATACTGCAAAATGCAGGGTAAAGAAAATAGCTATTTCTGTTCATTATAGAATAAATTTAAAAAGATTTGTTACTTCATGCTAGTAAAAATTAATATTACTTACAAAATTTGGGCAAAACCCGGTTTAAAGAGAGGCCATTGTACACACGGAAATATGCAATAAATAAACAAAAACAACTGTTTGTAATTTAGCCTTAGATTATGTTAACTATATAAGAAACCTGGATTTTTATAATTCGTGGGTGTCAAATTTTGCTAACCTTTGCATTATGGCTCTTCACAGGTAGCTAGCTATACAGAACTATGAGATTGGAAATGAGATATTCTCATGCATATTTAATTTGCAAAGTGTAACTCTATCAGATCAAAGGATACAACTAAAGTTCCACTATTCAGAAAAAGCTATTTGGTTAGCAGATTTTGTTTGGTTACATTTTCCCTTTTAGTTAATGAAAACTACATAAATATTTATTTTTCAAGGGTTTAAGCATTCCACATTTTAAAGGTCAAAACTTTGGGTATTTTCTAGAATAAACAGTCTAAAATCTTAACACATAACCAAGCATTACATTAATTGAGATGCTAGAACATTTAAGATATGTGATGCTTGTATTTGTAATACAGATATATTTTAAAAGTCTGCATGTATGTTTCAGATGGAATTCCATTTTCCCCACAAACTACATCTGTAAACAGACTAAATGTTTAGCCCTAGGCAGCTGCACTGTTTTCACGTGCCAGCCCTTATGGAATCAAATTGAAATTGCTTCAGTTCAGACAGCAATCCCAAACCTAATATAGTTTGCCTCGCCACAGCAGGACACCAAAACTTCAAACTATCTTCAGATCGAGGAGCACATTAATGTAAACATAGATCAAACCTCCTTTCTAAAAATAATTCTAAAAATACCTTTCTGTCAACTCCATGGCCAAAGGCATGTGCACCTATTTTCAGATACAAATCAGTTCAGTAGTCTAATCTACCATTGAAATTTCCCTGTTTTACTTTATTGTCCACTGTTTCATTTTTATCAATCGTATCATCATATACTAGATTCTGTTTTAATGTTGTTTAACCTGATAGAATGTACAATCTTATTATATTTTACTATTTAGCAAAAATAGTAAACTCTATCAATTTTATTATTATATATGTTTGTTGTTCATTTTATCTTCACAAAAGGTGTAAATAAACTACTACTAAGGAATAGAAAGAATTATTTCTACTAGTTATTTTAAAACTGATTTGGCAGGCTAGTTAGTATTTCCTCATGCTTTACAGCTTGTGTAGTTCTAAATCTAAGGCATATTTAATATACCTTGCTGTAAGAGACCAAATCCTGCTTTAACGGCCAGCAGTGAAGAAGCTGAAATAATTACAGTGGATGTCCAATATACTGTTTGGTCTTTCCAGATTGGCAGAGTAAAATGAACTCATTAAGTTCTGCAGTAATTGGAGATATTACAATATGGTATACGTTCATTAAGGGCCAGTAGTTTACCAGCTGCTCACTCTCTTCTCCTGCAGCAGATCTGAAAATGCTTCCTAGTCTCAGAACATTTGCAATATGCTCTAGATAAAATTGCAGGATCTGGATTTTAGGGCCTATTTCTGAATTATTCATTTACAAGCACCATTACAAATTGTGACTCAAAAGCTTTTTTTGCGTGTTATGCATGAAAACAAGAATCAACAGAGCTTTTTCTCCCTAGCCAACAACTGGAATAGGAGAACTATTAATCAGTTTCAATTTAAGTTATAAAAACAAAAACTGGTCAGGAGACATTTGAGGGAAAGTACCATGCTTTTAATCTGTAGATAGATTCGGTAGAGGTATCAGCCATATTGTTTAGGCCACTGATTCTCAACCAGGGCACTGCGGTTGAGATCTTTTCAAGACTACAGTGAGGTGCCACACAATGCTAGCACTGTTAGGTGTGCAAACATGATTTACCACAGATAAACCCAGAGATTTCACATTGGAATCCATAGTATCAAAAACAGTCTGACCTGTTCTGATCTTTGAACTCTCTGCAACAGAACTGTTCTAATGTTTTTCTGTAGTCTTTCAAAAAATTGAAAATTAAGAACTGGCATTTTCTGAGTGCCCTGAATCTATAAAAATTGGGAACTACTGGTTTAGGCTTTTATATTCAAAATAAGGAGTGATGGAACGGATCAATCATTGGATGCAAGATCCCCAAAGAAATCCCAGCTGCTTAAAAAAGTGGCACAGACAATTCAGTAAGCCATTTTCTTCTGAAATAACATGAAAGGAATGCAGAAGCATAGTATCAGGGGGTCTCCTACTTGCTGTCTTTTGAATAACAAGTCATGGTACTGACCCTGTTAAATCCTAAATCTCATCAGAAGTTCTCACAAAATGCAAGTTAGCACATAGGTCCTGAATACGTTCCAATCTGTTATGCTGCCCATCTGACTTCTCCCTATTCAAAACTGCTGTATAGTGTTCTAAGTTTCGCTAAACAGTTGCTGCGTTTCATTTTGGAAGTGGTTTCTTGTCAGGGGTACATCAATATATATACAGAATACCTATTCTGAAAAGATCTAGACACTTAGGTAGATAAAATTAATTCTGTTTGTATGGCTGATAAAAGGGAATAGGGATTAGTTTGTATAAATGGTTCTATATAAAACATAATATAGTTATCCTTCAACACTGACCAAAATTCAAGTAAATTCTGTTTAAAAAAAAAAGGGAGGGAGTGGGGCAGGTTTTTCCACAGAAGTTATTTTAGATGCGAAGTATCTGTGCAAATTATTTAAATCCAGACTGCCTTTAAATACTCTTATCTGTATTTTAATCCTATAAACTAATGATTTTAACATCATTGTCCCTTTCACAAACGTCTGGACATTATTCCAAAGCCTCAGGTCACAATCAGGATAGCACCTGAAATAATCAAAATCTCAGTGATTGGGTACAACCTGCAGGTGACAGGTTAGGAAGGGTTGAAAACTGCATTACAATTTAAAGCAAAGAAAACCTAAATCCTGCATTTCCGCACATTTTCCCCAAAAAGGTTAAGTGTTCAATCAACTTTACACACAGAAATATATGTTTGTCATATATTCAGTTGTTACACTACAATTATTATAAAAAGTAATGATGTATTTTGTTTTTATTTTGCGTGAGTTATTCTTTAAAAATTAAGTATTTTAATATGTCTGGATGAAAGACTTTTTGCACATTTATAAAACATGTTAGAGCCAAGATGTCTCATGTGGAAGTGCAGAAGAGGACAAGAGGTGCACACTAATGTCCAAACTAGATTAAGATACCACACACCATCTAAATAGCATGTATACATGTCACTCCTGCATTTCAGAGCCCTGCTTACCACTTCCTCAATGTAAAGGGTATTTACTGGAAGGGCTCTCATGGTTTATCATGTGATTTACTTCACAAGTAGCTACTTGTTCTTTCCTCGGTTGCATAAGCTCTTGCATCACAGCTAAGGAAATTATTACGCTAGCAATAGCTAAAAGGAGACATGACCTAAGGATGCAAGGTCTTCTCAGCATAGAGTAAATAGTCTATTAGTTGCACTTGTTTTTACTTTAAAATATTTAACTTGTTTAGGCTAAAGGCTCAATCTTGCTCCCATTAACATTAATGGGAAAACTCCTCTGTATTTCAAGGGTTCAAGATTGGACCTAAAGCATCAAAAATTGTAAATTTTACGTTGCCAAAATACCTTCTAGGGGAAAAATACTAGGGATAACTATTCAGTGTATGCTACATCCCATCATATGCTGTAGTCCAAGAATTTTATGCTTCCAGGGTAATTATTTAGCACCTTTGAAAATCAGAACAATGATTTTTGGCATTTTCTTTACATTTCCATAAATGCAGGGAGAACCACTATTCAAAGTTACTTTCTTTCCTGTGCCCTATGCAGCAAATGGTACCTCACACTGACTATTTGCTTTTTTGTTCATTTAGTGATATGCTGTTCCAGTCTGTTCCAAACCATACAACTAGCTTCGTTTGGACTTATAAAGGCAGTTTTAATAAGATAAACATAAATGTTAAACAATTCACATTAAGCCACCATCTGGCCCCCAATGGAAATTTTCATGTTTTAGATTTACATATCAGCATTTGCCATCTGGGTAGTCTGTTACACGTTTAATGTGAAACTCTGACTGCATTGTAAAGTTTGACTATTAACTCTTATTGTTCTTAAGCAAACATATCTGCAGAGGGTAAACAAAGGGGAGAGACCCTATATTCATATTCATGTTATTTTCATGGATTTATTTACACAGACTGGATTTTCAAATTCTTGTGGTTTTTAGAAACTTTTTAAAATCACTTATTTTGGCTTTTTTCTTTTTTGAGAAGACATTTACAGGTAGAGAAAGGCACATCCGATGACACAAGTGCCACCGAGGAAAACAATTTA